TTTTAACATTAACTTGTCATTATCTCCCTCAAGAAGCGTTTCCATTATTCCTTTTGCATTGAATTTCTTGCATCTTCCTGATAACCATTTTTATTTTTCCATATTCACTTTTATTTCATTCACCAATTATTTCCTTAATACACTAACCCCAATTAGTTCCTTTTTTTGGATGCTGAGCCTTCTATTTACCGGCCTAGTCTGGTTTGCCGTGGTTCCACTTCGCGAGGTTCCCGCTTTTGGCCTAGTTGTCGCGGTAATCTTCCAAGAAGCCATGAGATTCGCCCTATTTAAGCTTATCTCGTAAGTCAATGCAACGCTTAAATATTCACTCCAGTTGTCTTACTCACACAATAACACGTGTGTAAACTCTCATATCATGGACCGGTACATACGCATATTTCCCCACAAAAGGTCTATTATTTATATTATGTTTGTTCACTTTTTTCTCATTTATGTCCATAGTCCATAGATTTTACTTTAACTTTACTTTCTTATGGTGCAAACAACATTTAGGATAAGAGGACGTATTTCGATTCATGGATTTAATTAGATATGTTGGCCAAGTATGTTGGCACATAGTACTTCTCGTTTCATCCTTGACTAGGCACCTACTGGGTCAAAACCAGAATAAAATCTGGGATAACAAGTCAATAGTAGGCTTGATCGCTGAGCACATGATACAGATCCACGTAGAAGTAAAGTTGCGATTTTGCCTATTGTTCACTCTACAGGAAGGAGATTCTAAGTCTAGTCCTTTTTAGAATGCTAATTCTTATAATTCCAATTGCCTAAAAACAAGGCGGTGGACAATATGGAACCAATTTAAACGATTTAATCAGCGTTTATATCCTATCCTATGTTCTCAGACTTTGGCCAACGTCCTATACTATTTTTTAAATTTGCTAACCTCATACGTGACCGACATTAAGGGATGTTTACGATATCTTTGCAGATTTTATCCAGCTAAGGGACGCAATTTAAAAAAAATGAACGATAACATTTTGTTGCTTTACATTATAAAACGGTAAAGGTACATATATTCTATCTAAATGTAAAAATTTCAACATGAAAAAAATTTTAGTCTACAAATCAGCCTGAAAATTATGCTTATTCAAATACTAATCTCAACTACATAGATATTCCGACCTACATCTTGCTTTGGTTTTCGAAGTCCCAATAGTTGAAATATATACTATTACTATAAAGCGTAATTATACTGGCTAATTTTGCTATGCTTTTTATTGAATAAAGACTAATCGTCCGGGATGGGTCTCTGTTTTTACCTCTATTAGGTCCCATTTGTACTTCCAACGGTATTATTATTCGAATTATCTCCAGAAATTATCTTCTAATTTAGGTCCTCAGTGCCATTAAATTTTACGGTGATTGTAATTTATTGGCCAAGTCAAGTCTCTTTCAACTATAATTTTTGTATCATGTTTATGTGTGTTTTAATAAGGTAAAATAAATGAGATCGTATGTATGAAGAGCGAGAGGATGTTGCTTTTGGCTTGGTTGAAACCTACTTTAGCCGTATAGTATTTGTTTGATTTCGTTTTTGCAACTTGCTTGGAGCGAGAGAGACCTTATGGAGCCTAGTTAGTTCTGCATCCTCTGACATAGTACTCATGGTAATTTCCAGCATCAGACTTTTAACATAGTGCATTCCCATAGAAGTGTAGCTCCACATCCTTGAGATAACTTTTTTATTTTGACAATTGATGGAAACTAGACTTATTATTGTCATTCTCATACTTTTTGTAAATTAATAGCATTACTATACCCCATGTGTCTGAAATAGCATCGACATATATGCATGCCTTGCATGCCTGCTTCCTATGCCTCATTCTCAGATCTGACTACATCTCTCTTAGTTATTCCCATAATAACCTTGGATATAAGCCACTACTTACCTATTGAAGATATCTAGAATCATTGAAAAGTGTGGACAGATGAGATATTTGTAAGCTGCACTCGATGGCCCTAATTTTTCCTCTTCTCAATAATCATTTTCGTATCCTACTTGATTTATTATTTATTATTCCCTTTTTGATTAATTCAGCAAGACCGACGCCGGATTGCATGCAATCGCCGTATCTGCACGGGCCTCTGTCCATTTTGCAGGGTCTGGACATCCACCAGAAGTTGCTTGTTCTTCTTCTCCACAATCACCAGAATCGATCTTACCTCCCGTTGGTTCTCAAAACATTTCGATAGCACCTTGTTCTAGCGCCTTAGAATCTCCCTTATCAACTAACAACCCATTATCAGCTGGTCTGTCCGAACGAAAGATTCTCGATGATGCAGCAAACGATATCACCTCTGTCGAACCACAAATTGCAACTTCGAGTAGTGGCGATTGCAGTGGCAATCTATATCAGCGCATCTCTGTGTCGACTCGGAAACCTGTCATCACAAATCTGGTGCCAATCTCGGCAACCGGACTCGCTATGCTGAATGCTGGGTTGGCGCATGATGTCGTTCAAAACAACCATTTAGAAACAAACGTTCCAGACACCTGCACTATTGGTAAGCTTTGCTTTGATCTGGGCCAATTTGGCAACAGCCAAAGACATCTCCAGTGTGCACGAATATAGAAGGATTCTTTTAGGATATACATAAATAATTCCGAATCCAACTTAGATTTATTTTGACGTACGTTGCACCTTAGCTATTTTTGTGTGTCGCATCCTAAGAACTCTTAAATATCTTCCTTATTGCTTTATCTTCCGCTATGTTTAAAGAACCGTTTTTAATTTCTAGAGATTTCATATTTATTTCGATACATTTATCGAAGTCTATTCAACGGGATCTTGTTACTTATTTTAAAAGATGTACACAATAATTGTCAATCTTTAAAAGCTTTCTGCATCTTCCATTGATAATCTAAGGGAGTTTTAGACTTTTCAGAGATTCTAGAGAATTCATTTACTCTCAAACTCCTACCACCTGCATTTTCCAT